GTTTCTTTTTTGGAAGAAAAAGAACTATGAATTCAATTTCTTCAGTGTTTATAAGACTATTCAGGTCATCTGTTGCATCTTGGGTGACTTTTGGAACATATGATTTTTGAGGAGTTGGTTCATTTAATCTGTTAACTTTTTGTGTGTAGAGTTTCCCTTCAGGCCATGAAATCATTGAAAGGTTAATAAGGGTTCCGCAGAAACAGGATTAAAAAAACTCTTTAATAAGGGAATTCTCCTAATAACCTTTTAATGATGTCAGGACCTGATGTTATGTCCTCCCATGCCTCATGGTGCCAACTTGTGTCTTCTCTTTCTTTTTTCTTTGTTATTCTTTCTAGAGGTTTATCTGTTTTATGACTCTTTTTTCACAGAAGTCACTTTTGGATACATTGATTTTTCTTTATTGTTTTTCTGTTTTCAATTTCACCGATTTTTGTTGTTTTTTTCTGCTTGCTTCTGGCTTTTCTCATTTTCTAGTTGCTTACGGTGAAGCTTTAGTAATTGATCTGAGGCCTCTCCTCTTTGTAATACGTACATTTAATTATGTACACTGCCCTTACGTTGAAGCTTTAGTTGATCTGAGGCCTCTCCTCTTTGTAATATGTACATTTAATGATGTACATTGCCCTTAAGCATTGCTGTAGCTGCATCGCCAAATTTTGACATATTTTTATTTTCATTTACTTCAAAATATTTTAAATGTTCCTTAAGACTTTCTCTTTGCCTTGTGAATTATTTAGAAATATGGCACCTGTTTTCCAAATATTTGGATATTTTTCCATTATCATTATGCTATTGGCTTACAGTTCAAGTCTATTACAGTCAGAAGACACACTTGGTATATTTCAGTTCTTTTAAATTTGTTAAGTTGTGTTTTGTGGCCCAGAATGTGATTTCTCTTGAAGAATGTTCTGGTGTACTTAAAGAGTATATATTCTTCCCCGGGTGTGGTGGCTCACACTTGTAATTCCAACACTTTGGGAGGCCAAGGCAGGAGAATTACTTGAGTCCAAAAGTTTGAGCGCAGCCTGGGCAACATAGTGAGACCCCCATCTCTACAAAAAGTTTTTTTAAAAAATTAGCTGGGCATGGTGTTACGTGCCTTTTGTCCCAGCTACTCAGGAGGCTTAGGTGGGAGGATCACCTGAACCAGGGAGTTTGAGACTGCAGTGAGCTAGGATCGCACCACTGCCCTCCGGCCTGGGGGACAGCAAGAGTGTGTGTCCTTCTTGTTTTAGTAAATGTCTATTCTGTTAATTAGAGGACGATGTTTGGTAGGTTGTTCAGTTCTTCTGTATCCTTGCTGGTTTTCTCACCACGTGTTCTCTTACTAAGTGAGGGGTTGAGTTTTTCAGCTGTAACTGCCTGTTTCTGCTTTCAGTTTTTTGCTCCATATACTTTGAAAGTCCATTGTTTGGTACATTCACGTTTGTAAATGATTGTGTCTTAAACATTTAATGCTTCTGGTAATGCTGTGTGCTCTAAGTTTACTTTGCTATTAATATAGCTGTTCTAATTTCTCTTGATTGGTGTTTGCTTGGCATATACTGTTCTGTCTCTTTGCTTTCAACTTACCTGTATAATTGTATTTGAAGAAAGTTTCTTATAAACAGCATACCGTTGGGTTATGTGTGGTTTTTTAATCCAGCCTGACAAGCTTTGTAGTTGGTATGTTTAGACCATTTACATTTAATGTAATTATCGATATGCTAGAATTTAAGCCTCCCATTTTACTGTTTGTTTACTATTGTTTCCTGAGGGTTTTATTGCTTAACTTTACTATCTTCTTTGAGGTCATTTTTTCGTATTGTTTTATTTTGTCTCTAAGTTTTTGACCATAAATGCTTTGCATAGTTTTTTTAGTAATCGTTCCAGGGAATAAAATATACAGACTTCGGTCTTCACAGACCGCTTAGAATCCACATTTTAACACTTCCAGAAGACTGTGGAGCCGCGTCCCAGCCTCTGTATCAGTTACTGACCCCTCTGCCTTTATGTTGTAGTTGTTATAATTGCTGTATTTGTTGTAAACTCCATTTGACAAAATGGTAATTTTTGCTTTCAACAGTCAAAAACATTTTAGAGAACTTGAGAAGAAAGGAACTCAGCTTTACTCATCCGAATATTTCCCACTTCTGCTGCTTTTCCTTTATTTTTGATGTTCCAAGTCTCCTTCTGATACCCGTGTCTTCCTGTGTGAAGGACATTCTGTAGGAATTCTTTAGATCAGATCTGCTTGCAACAAATAATCTTGTTTTTATTCATCTAAGAATTTCTTGATTTTATCTTCCTTCCTGAAGGGGATTTTTATTGGATTAGGAATTCTGCGTTGATAATTGTTTTCTTTCAGCATTTTAAAAATAGGACTCTTGGCCCATTGAGGTGGCTACCGCCTGTAATCCCCGCACTTTGGAAGGCTGAGGGGGCAGATCACCTGAGGTCAAGAATTTGAGACCAGCGTGACCATCATGGGGAAACTCCATGTCTACTAAAAATAAAAAAATTAGCCAGGCTTGGTGGAATGCACCTGTAATCCCAGCTACCTGAGGAGGTTGCAGTGAGCCAAGATCATGCCATTGCACTCCAGTCTGAGCAACAGAGTAAGTCTTTGGCTCAAAAAATAATAATAATAAAAATATGACCATGCTTCTTTCCGGCCTCCATTGTTTCCATGGAGAAACCAGCGGTGGGGGGAGCCGTTGTTCCTGTCCAGGCGTCAGGAACTGGATGGCGACGTGTCTGCACTTGTACAGCCTTTGCTTTGTCCTGTTTGGGATTTGCTCAGCGTCTTTAATTTATAGGCTTGTATTTTCACGAAATTTTGGATTTGTAGTCCAGGTTTGTCATGTGCCTTCCTGCACCTGAGTCTCACCTTCATTACTCTGGTGGCGTGCCTGCTAGCCCTCCGTGCTCATGTTCGTGGTCGTTTTGCTCTGCTGTTCAGGTGGGGCGTTTCTGTTGCTGCCTTCACGCTGTCAGAGTCATTCTGCCATTGAGCCAATCCAGTGACATTTTTTTGTTTCTGTATTTTTCAGTTTTAAAACTTTCATTAGGTTCTGCTTTGTGTCTGTTATTTCTTGGTTGAGACTTTCTATTTTTCCATGTATGTGCAAACATTTGCCCTTACTATTTTCTTTTGGTGTTGGGGGGACACTCTGTCACCCAGGCTGGAGTGCAGTGGCGCTATCTCATCTCACTGCAGCCTCCACTTGAAGCTATCCTCCCACCTCAGCGTCCCAAGTAACTGGGACTACAGGCATGCACCAACACACATGGCTAATTTTTGTCTTTTTTGTAGAGACAAGGTTTTGCCATGTTGCCCAGGATGGTCGCAAACCCCTGAGCGCAGGCAATCTGCCCGCCTCAGCCTCCCCCAGTGCGCCCTCAGTTCTGAGCATTTTTATAATGGAGCTTGCAGATAGATGTTTTTCAGGGAAACTCCCGTCACTGTGCTGTCTCCATGCTGTCCTGTTCTTTTTCCACGTGAGTTGATGTTTTCCTGGTTTTCCCTTGCTGAGTAACTTCATATTGTACCCTGGACATTTGTAGTGTGAGGGGTGAGATTCTTGGTCTTACTTACCTTCGATGAAGATGTGGATGTGTCTGTTTTACTGTGACTTGGTTGGCGTAACTCCGTAGAGTCTGACCTCCTTCTCTGGGACTGGTTTCAATGTCATTTTATTTTTAGGGCCTTGGCCTTGCTGTCTCTGCACGTCCCACAAGTGTACTCACCGGTAGCCAGTCTGACCACGGCAGTGGAGCAGCAGATGAGGGACAGCAGTGGAAAATCTCATGAGATCCAGATTAAGTCCATAGTTTCCTTTGAAAAAACAAACACGAGCCTCTGAGCAGGCAGGAGTTAGGCTGGGCACTGCACAGAAAGCTCGTCACCGCGTGAGGCAGGCGTTTCATGTCCTGTGCATGGCGTCTGCCCCTCCTGGAGGAGCCCAGGCTGCCGGGTTAGCAGCAGGTGACACAGTCGGCCGGGGCTGCCGTGAGGCAGTGCTGGCCCAGGGGCGTGTCAGCTTCCTTTCTGCGCATCAGGTCAGTGTGTTCTACGGTCTCACAGCCTCTGCCTTGGCCCCTGGCTTTTCGAAGTCCATTCCAGATGGCAGGTGATGAGCCTCAGTGAGACTCTACACATCCCTGACCTCCTGGGTCACAGCCAGGTGCCGTCACAGTTGAGAAAGGTGAGGGGCGTGGGGCTGGCAGCTGCTCGCCTGAAGCCCCTCTTCCTTCTCTGCCCTCCCCAGACCCTCCTGACCGTTGAGCCAAGGGCTTGGCTGGTGTCTTCACAGACCCACCACGTCCAGGGCCTCCCAGGTGCTCACCCCATCTGCTCCTGATGTGCAGGGAGCCCCAGCCCAGGCTCATGTGACCCAGCCTCCCTCCTGCCCTCTCCACAGTCACCATAGAACGCCACGGCTGTGCTTCCTGGGGCCACGGCAGTGCCCACATATCTAACAAGGAGCTCCAGGGACCCTCCACCCTTGGGCTGCACCTTCCCTCCCAAGAGTCTTCCCTCTGCCCTGTGGAGGGTGCTGCCCACTCCGAGCTGCCTCAGCCCCTGCGGGCGAGGTGTGCACAGATGCCCGCCGCTATGCTCCCTGGTTTGAGAAACACCCTGAAGATGGGATTTGGGCACAGGTTTTAGAAGTGGACAGGCTGCCTGAATCCAGCCGAGGCCCCAAGTGCTGAGGGTGGTTCCAGTCACATGCTTGAGTCTAGAGGACAGGGTAGCAACATCTGCTTCTGTAGCTGTTCTGGGACGAGCGAAAGGACACCCAGCTCCTGACCAGGGCATCAGGGCGTGTGCCAAGGATGGCAGAATGCTTAGCTTGGGGTGGTTGGCTTCTACCTGTTGAAAGCTGCATTTTCCAAACGTTCCAACAAAGTGCTTAGTTCCAGGAAGCACATGGCCCTGGATGGGCAGGGTGGCGGTGCCAGCGCCAGGCGGGTGTGCTGGCTCTGACCTGCACGTGCTTCGTCTTCCACAGGTGACCCCAGGGTTTGAAGAGAAGGACGGGGAGCTGCTGGTGAGGGGACCCTCTGTGTTTCGAGAATACTGGAATAAACCAGAAGAAACTAAAAGCGCATTCACCGGGGATGGCTGGTTTAAGACAGGTAGGATCTAACCCTGCGGGCATGGAGGAGACCCCGGGGCTGGGGAGGGGACAGGCAAGAGTACGCCTTGCCCAGGTTCAGTGACACCAAGGCTTTCAGCCAAAGGCAGAAGACGGGGGTGGTGCGGGTAGGGCTGGAGGCTGCTGTTCCAGCGCCGCACCCTCTGAGCGCCCGGCCTCTAGAGCAGGGTCCATGGCCCCGTCTGTCAGTCCCTCGGTGCCCCGAGACAAGACATCCGCACTGTCCCTCAGCGTGGCAGCCGCTGCAGCGAGTACATATCCTGACCACAGGCGCTGGACCCCACACGCCCCTTCCTGTAGCCCCTCTGCCCATTGTGGGCCGGGGCGCCCTCCACCTCCCAAGTACACCCCTGCACCCAGAGACCTCATCACCCCCACGCCCAGCTGCCCTCATGCCCTGCACATCTTCCTCTCCCACTGGGGGCCTAAGTCACCTGCTACAGTGTGGTAGGTTTGCGGTGTGGCTGTTCCTCTACCATTCTGCAGTTAGCACACTCTCCCCGCCTGCCGGAACGGGCCTGTGGGGGAGCGGGAACCCTGTGGCAGTCAGCAGAGATGGCAGCGCCCCCAGAGCCTGTGGGCAGCCCCCACTGCCACCCTCATGCTCTCTCTGAACCTGCCCTGAACCGCTGCGTGCCCCACCCCCTCCTTTGTGCGAAGCCGACTTGGTCCGGGATCCCATGTCCCGCCCCATGGGCCGTGTTTGGACATTTGGATAGTGGACAGATTTGGGTGTGCAGGTGTTCACAGTAGTGGACTCATCTAGGAGATCTGCACTGGAACTTTGTTCCTGAACTCTGGGTATAAGATGGTGGTAGGTTTTCTTTTCCCCTTTTTTTTTTATGGCTTGTCTTTATTTTATGCTGAACGTCATTATTTTATAATAATCTGAGGTAATATTTTCCAAAAAGAGAGGCCCATTTTCACACATCAGAATCTGCTGGCCCAAAATCAGAAACACACCTGCCCCATGTCCTTCCACAGGGAGCAGAGCTCAGGGGACACAGTATGCAGGCAGGAGGGGCTCCTGGAAGAGAGTGCAGGGGTTGGGCTCCTGGAGGGGTGCTGGGAGGGAGGAGAGCGCGGGGGAATGGGCTCCTGGAGGGGTGCTGGATGATGCTGTGTTCCCTGCAGCCTCGCTGCCCTGTGGCCTGATCTTTGGCTCCCGGAGGCTCTGGAGTGTGCGCTACTGTAAGGCAGGCGTGCTAGGTGTGTGGTCTTTGAGCACGTTTGCAAAGTGAAGACTTTGTGAGCCCCTAGAGCAGAGGCCAGGTGCCCTATGCAGCATCCCACAGGCTCCCCAAGGGACCCCAGGAGGCACCTTCGTGGCTGGACATCAGCAGAGGACCCAGGGCTGGGGCCTAGAAGCCTGTCTGCGACAGGACGTGGCTGGCACAGTCAGCCCTCCCTACCGGTTTGTCATTTGAATACATCCCGGGATGCAAGCTGGTCCATGACTCCCCTTCAGATTCGGAATTCCAAGAGCCTGACTTGAGTCCGTCTTGCTCTGAGTGTCCCTCCAATGCCCTCTGGATGCCCCGACTCCAACCTCACTCACACTGTAGTTCTTCTTTTATTTATAAATTCAGGCAAAAAGCTGAAGATGTTTTCTCAAAGCACAGGAACCAAAACCCTGTGGATTTTTCGAATGGCTGGGCTCTCTGAGCTGCTGGGAGGGCAGCCTGTGCCATGCAGGGCTGTGGGCGCGGAAACCCCGCAGTCCCCGGCACCCGTGCAGATTTCAGCCGGGGTGGAATAGCGTGCATTAATTATTGTAAAGAGATGTCTTTAGGAGAAAATGGTTTTGAAATTCAGTTTAATTTCATTGTAATGTGCTGCAGACAGGAAGGGAGTGTGTGTGTTTAATTGGCTCTCAGGAGTAAGGCCTGGAAGCCGCATGCCTTTGTCACAGGCCATTAGCGATGCCGCCTGCGTGAGGAGAGCCTGCAATCAGCCCACAGCTGCCGCTCCTGCGGGGAGAGCATGATATTAAATAGAAATCAGGAGAAATTAAACTTAACCCTTTCCCTGGCCAGCCCCTCCCACCACATGGATTCTGGCATAAGCCGCCAGGCACAGGGGACAGCTGGGGATGGCGATGGCTGGGGATGGCCGGGATGGCCGAAGCCAGTCCATAGCTCCTCAGCGGCCTCCTCCGGGTCAGGATGAGAGGAGAGGTTGCCGGCTTCGATGCTGGCCGCTCCTGCCTCCCTGCCCTGCCTCCAAACCTGCAGCCTGCTTCTGCCTCAAGATTGCACAGGGGGCTTCAAGGCCAGTGGGGTCTCCGCTGCTCGGGGGCAGGTCAAAGGTCTCCCTCAGGTAGCTCTTCTGATAGCGAAAATGGTCTTTCCCAATGCTCTGACTCCACCTGCCCTCACTCAGAGACACATGGCACATTTGCTGCCTGGGCCCAGTGCAAGGCAGCACAGAGGTGGGCGTCCCTGCCAGGCAAGTGGTGGGAGCAGCAGCCCCTCCTGGGGAAACCAGGCTCAGGAGGGTGCAGTGGGGCAGGCCAGTGTCCCTGCATGGGTGGATGGGTTCTTAGGCTCTAGCTGGGGGAGGAAATCCAATGACAGTGCTCCATAGAGAAGAGCCCTGGGTCCCGGGAAGACCACCAGGAGCTTGTGGGGAAGGATTGCGGGGGGAGCCGGGGATCCCGGGAGGACCACCAGGAGTTCTCAGGGAAGGACTGGGGGAAGGAGCCCTGGGTCCCTGGAGGATTACCAGGAGCTCGTGGGGAAAGATGGGGAGTGGGAAGTAGGGGGCTGGAGAACCCCCAGACAGAGACATACTGTTCAGGGAGGGAGAGAGGAGCTGGGCCCAGGTGGCCCCATTCCCCGAGGCTGAGTGTCAGCCCTGTCACCTGGTCCCTTCATGCCCATGGGCACCACTGCCGGGCACCAGCTTGCTTGTCAGCCTCTCCAAGGTCACTTCTTCCGGGGCCCAGCCAGGGCTCCATGTGTCGCCAGGCATCCCCAGACCCTCTGGCTCTCAGCCATGGGGTGCTTACATCTGGGCCAGAAGGGTTAAAGAGACCTTGTGATTTAGTGGGACTCGCTGGCCTCAAGAAGCAGAAAATCAGAGGGCCAGTAGCCCCAGCCACCCGGGGTTTCCCCTGTGGAGCCAGAGCTGGCCAGGGGTCCTGTGGAGGCCCAGCGGGAACTGGGGGTATCACGATTCTGGCCCACGGCCTCTCCGTGTGGTAACGAGTTGGATGCTGAGCCCCAGGCCTGGTGGCACATTGGAGCTCAGATGGTGGCATCTGAGCTGTTCTTACAGCCATCCCTTCTGTCAGAGCAGGCACCTTTTCAGAAGCCCTCGGGCTTTTGTGTCCTAGGCCAAAACTCTCCTGGCCGCTCTCCCTTCACAGGACACAGGCCCTCTGTGGGACAGGGAAGGGACACAAGCATTCTGGTGGGAACCAAGGCTGGCCTGGCTGGTGCCAGCCCCTGTGCCAAGGTTGCCAGCCAAGGTCAGAGGTGACCACAGGAAGGACAGGTGCAGAAGTGCCCTCACCCGCCCCAGCCCCTTCCATATGGCAGAGGGACCCACTGGGCCTCTCTCATTGGCCAGGCTGTGTGGTGAAGCCCGTCTCTTCCCTCTGAGCCACGTGTGCATGCTGACAGCTCCTGAGAGGGCCATGTTTTGCTGCCTGCAGGGCGACTGGAGCCCACAGGGCCTCACCAGGCCCACGAGACGGGCATCAGATGGATCTTAGCCTGGGTTCCCTAGAAAACGCATGAGGACTCTGGGCAAAGGGTGAGTGTTTTCCCTTTGTTTTTTTTAAAACCAAAGTTATATACCCATGGTTTAAAGACCCAAGTAGTTTTAGCAGTTCAGGAACAAGAGCTACAGCTGTGCCCCTTCCCACAACCCGCCGGCCGCGGCTTCTGTGCTGTCTCTGCATCCTGAGGACCCCCCGGCCGCGGCTTCTGTGTGGTCTCCAGGCCCCGGGACCGAAGCACCACCACCTCCAGACTCCCACAGGAGGCCCCTCCTCAGACTCGGCCCGGCTCAGTCGTGTGCAGGGTCCGCACCATTGGGACCTGGCGTCCCCACTGAGAACTGAGCCCAGGAGACACTGCTGTTTTTTTGTTTTCCAGAGTCAGGAAAGTCTCGATTTTCTTGGTCTAGGTACCAGTTCCTCATGGGCTGGGCTGGTCTCGCCACCGGTCTCCTTCCCCTTCACAGCTACTTCTTCCCTCCTGCTGGGTCAGGGCTTCTGCCCCTGCCCGCGGTGTCCTCCCTCCACCCCCTAGCTCTGGGGACTGCTTTCCTCGGGGGCTTCCTGAGGTGGAGAGCGTAGGGTCAGTATTGGAGACTTGCGTGTCTCTGTGTCCTTCGTTCCGCCCTTAACCTGCGTTGCAGGGTTTGGCTGGGTATGGGGTTCTGGGTTACAAGTCACTTCTGTATCATTTTCTGGCCTCCAGAGTTGCTGGTGCCACAGCCATGTTGAATGCTGGTACTTGGTGACCCCTTCTTTTTAACATAAGGTGTCTCTTCTGTCCCCAGAGCCCTGAGCCCAGCCCAGGGAGCCTCCGGGTGGGGACTGAGCCCAGCCCAGGGAGCCTCCGGGTGGGGACTGGGCCCAGGCCGGGGAGCCTCCGGGGGGGGACTGGGCCCAGGCCGGGGAGCCTCCGGGTGGGGACTGGGCCCAGGCCGGGGAGCCTCCGGGTGGGGATTGCACCCAGGTCAGAGAGCTGGGTCTAGGCCATCGCTGGGACTCCCTCTGCCTTCAAGAGCCCTCTTCCACCCCAGGCCCACAGGGGAGACCTGGATGACTGGAGCCTCCAGTGTCCATGGGCACCAGAGCTTCCAGCACCTTCCCTCCTGCTGGGCGATGGCCAGTGCCTGCCTCGATAGGGGCTGCCTGCACCGCTGCCCCTCCAAGCATCAGTCTGTCCTCCTTGTAGCCACCTCCCCGTGCCCAGGGGCAGCTGGCGGAGCCTTTCGCGTAAGTTGGTTTCCAGCTGCCCCTCT